CACTCTTTTGTTGAAATTTTCCATGACCGTTTTGCATAAATGTGGCTGAATTTCGATGAGGCTCATTTTCATCTTGATGGCTTGGTTAATCGACAAAATTGTCGCATTTGGGGTTCAGAAAATCCACGAGTGATTGTTGAGAAACAAATGCATCCACAACGTGTCACTGTTTGGTACGGATTTTGGGCTGGAAGCATCATCGGACCATTCTTCTTCAAAAATGCGACTGCTCAGGCAATAACAAAAGATTGTGTTTGTGCCAGCAAAGCCGTGGAGGCCATTTACCCAATATGCTATTCCATACATAACCCTATACTGTATACTTTAAGAATCAATAAAAAAAATTACAATTTTTAATTATAAACCTGTGTTTTCTATCAAAATTACTTCTTGCGTGAATTTTGGGACACCCTTTATTTACTAGTAAGACAAGGCATGAATTGTATTATAGTCCTCAAGGGATAGTATCTCAGACTTCATCACCTGAAGCTCCATTTTCATCTGGAGATTCAACCCATTTTCAACCAATACAGAAACTTGGTTAATATACTGTGTAGAAAGAAGTTAACATAATAGGCCTGAGACGACTATCCTTAAAAATTCTGTTTGCAAGATGACCATCGCTGGCATCTGAGAATTAGGGTTTGGGGAGAGTTCCCAGTATTCCCTAATTTGTAAGAGTGGCGCCCTCAGCCTCAACTGTTTGTACAAACCATGTGGCTTATGCTGAACACCTGCTTCTCTTCTGGGAGTCTGGAATTCTGGCTCATGCTAAGCAGAGGCAGCCTATATGAATCTCAGAAACTGAGTCTCTGATGAACTTACTGGTAGTTAACACTGACACATGTTGTCACAATCCCATATGGGAGGAATTAAGCACATCTTGGTGACTAGGTGAGGAGAAGACTCTTGGAAGCTGATGCCTGGTTTCCTCTGGACTTGACTCGATGTGCTGACTATACTTTGTATACTTTGCTGTAGTGTATCACAGCCATGGGTGCCTCTATGTGCTGAGTCCTGAGTCCTCCTAGAGATGCACTGAACCCGTGGGTGGTCTTGAGGACTTCTGATACACATCTTTGGACCAGTGGTTCCTAAACCTGGCTGAGCACAAGATTCACTGGGGCAGCTTTGCAGACAACAGATTCCAGAGTCTATGGACTCGCCCCAGATCTATGGACTCAAGATCTGTGTTTTTCAAAGCTCTCCAGATGTTTGTGATATGAAATCAGATGGGAAGCCAGATGGCAAATGCCTTAGTGAAAGACAACAGGTGCAAGAAAGCTATATTTTCTAGAAAGAAAAATAGGAGAGTATGTCTGCCACATGGAAGGAAAGAGCCCAAATCAATGCGATATGATTATTGGGTGTGAATAATGCAGACAGCAGACAGAAAGCAAAGCTTTTCCTTTGTCGCATTGAACCTTTCATGTTAGTGCCAAGAAGGAACAGGACAGGTCCTGTTTCCGATATGGCCACAGCATGACAAAAAGTCCCCCAATGAAGCCTGGCAGGTTTAGCCAGAATGTGAATTACATCATGTTTATTATCTACTAGAGGCCAGGTGCATGAAATTTGTGCACTCGGGGGGGGGGGGATCCCTCAGCCCAACCTGTACCCTCTCGCAGTCCAGAAGCCCTCGGGGGATGTCCGATTGACATCCCCCGGGGGAGTGGGCCTAAGCCGTCAGTCGGACATCCTTAGTGCTGCCGTGGTTTCTGGCTGAGCAGTGCTCCTGCGTTGGGTGTCTGCCCCCTGATGGTCAGTGCGCATCACAGCGACTGGTGGTTCTGCCGTTTGGTCAATTTGCATATTAGCTTTTTATTATATAGGATGGATTAGGATACTCATTTAATTTCCAAATTTTAGAAGCAGTCATGAAGCTGACATTTTAGATTGAATACTTACATGGACATATTTAACAAACAAAAAATGTGGCTCTGTCATCCTCGTTACATTCAGAAACGTGGCTTGATAATGAATAAAGTTGATTTTGATGAGGTTTCTTTTTTAGGGGAAGTAGGAAAGTATGTCCCTCATGGATTTTGCTTTTCAATAACATGTTATTGAATCAATTCACCAAAATGCATCTTGAAGAGTCAAAAAGCCTTCATTCATAAATCAAATCATATCTATGAGTCAAAACAAAGGAAAAGTGATAACCACAAATATCACCAATAAAAGTTAAACTCAGATGCCGTGGCATTTAAAGCCACAAACCTTAGAACGTAATAAGAAAGTGAATTTTCTGAATGTAAAGAAGTCCCAGGAGGAATCACCCCTTAAAAAGAAGATGAGGTGTACCTTTTCTGGGATTATATATTTCTCAAATCCTAACAAAACATTCTAATCCATCTCACAGAGGGATTCAAAGGTAAACTCTCAGTGAGGGAAGTAGAACTGTATTTTACCTGCTTCCGTAGTAATTTAATGTAACTCATCTAGTTTCTTTTCCCACAAAGAATCCAATTGCATGTCCTTTCACACATATCCCACAAGGCCACTCCGGGTTAATTTGGTGTGCAAGCCCAGGAATGGGAGTCCAGAGATCTGCGCTCTGCCATTCACTTCTTCTCTATGTGCCTGTTACTAATAAGTTAAATGGAGCGAAAATATTTGCCCTTCCTATCTCGCTGGTTTGTGACAGGGTTCAAAGCGAGATTGTAAATGTGAAAGTCGTTTGG